CCCGATGCTGCTGTTGGTACAGAAACAGGCTGTAGTTGGGACGCGGGGCCTCAAGCAGGGTCGTCTGATAGCCACCCTCACCCTCAACCTCACCGCACCCCAGACGGAAGGCATCAACACCACTGCTATAGTCTTCAGCGAAGCGATACGGCCAGACAGTACCTGAAGGCAGGGCTGTCCAGGCACCGGGATGCGCAATGTCGGGTCCCTGGACGGCCTCCCGGGCGGCTTCTGGGGGCTCCAGGACTTCCATCGTCTGAGGAGGAGAGTCTGACTGCGTACTGGTGAGCTCACGCAGTGTTGGTGACAAGCACTCATCACCACCGGTCGGAGTGCCGTAAATACCGAGGCTGTTAAACTGGGGGTAGCTGATGTTGTAACAGACTGTGGTGGTAGGCACTCGGGCGGGACCGGTAAAGTAGACACCAGTCGAGGGGTGATGGTGGTGTTGAGCTGGTGGAGAGTTTGGGGACTCGGAGTCGGGCCAGAGACAACTGCTATTGCTGCCACTTGATTGGTTGGGAAGTTTGGTCGGGGAGGCAGGCGGCATTCCCATAAGATTTTCCTGGAAAAGACATGCGCGATGTATACATATAATCATATGTTAGGGGTTTGATAGATCTCAATAATTTGTTTAACCTAATTGTGAAGAATTTGCAGCCTTGGTAGGAGTCGAACCCACACAGCAGGGAAGGCTTCTGCGTAGCCAACGCTCTATCATTTGAGCTATGAGGCTCACCTTTCGATTTGCATGCCCAGCTTTGCTACACTTATGGAATTCATAGTATTAGTTTATTTTAGTTAGTTTAGTATATAGTAGTATACGAGTATATTTATCTAACCAAACCAAGCTAAAACTAATAAAACTAAAAGTAACCACAAGACTGGAGACAAGGGGTATTTGAGGTTGGCGTGAAATTTTATTGTTACCAACAATTTGTACATTTACTTCGATGGATCGCTGCATGGTACTCTTTGTTTAGTGCCATTTGCTTCTCGGCGGCCAAATCTGCATAACCCGTGATTTTTATGACATTGGTAGCATTATTTACGTATTTTAAGAGCCAAGAATTACGCAGCCTTGTTAAAAATATATTCTAAAAGTTTTTCTAACTGAAAATACCTACTTAAAATGGCGGACTTATTTCCTTAAGAGATTATCTAAACTAATCGAGGCATACCTAAACCGGCAAGACAAAAATGTCGTGGCTAAATGGTTAGAGCGTTATTATTCCAATCGAAAGTTTGCGAGTTCGAGCCCCGGGTGGTACATCACTTGGGGTTGGTTATGACTGGCTTAAGACGGCTAATAAGCCAGAATTGGCCATTCCAGTCTCCCGCTTGTCTTTGTCGGCAATATTATTTGCCTATGGCTACTAGCCGTTACAACTGCTGTTAGAGCCCGAGAAATGAGACCTAAGGCAGAACAAGACACATGAGTTTCATTATCGATCGGTGAACGTTCATCATCGAGTGCGGATAGTAAATTGGTGTCGTGGCTGCCCAAACAATACAATCAGTAGGGGGGAAGCGACTAGATACTTTATCTGCTGACCAGTTATAAAGTACGTTTTGTCTGCTCCTGGAAACGCGATTTTGGTCAAATAATTGGTGGCGGACAGTAAAACAGTTTAAATTTATGTTGTAGCTTACCAT